ATGCTCACGCTGTGATCAGCGGCAGCTGGATGCAATAATTGCATGCCAATGTGCATTGGCTCGTTTAGTTACACTCGAAGTAGATTGGTCTCTTGAAGCGAGATCCCAATTCATCAGTCACGACGTGACTCGTCGTGACCGACTGAAAGGAAACCCTTCTTTACTGACAAGCAGCACATCCAAAAAATCGCAGCCTTTGCCAAATCACGATTGCAGTGTAATTCCGATGAATTGTGCAGCCCTAGTCTTAAGAGAACGTGAACAGTTTGGAAAGAAATAGGATTTCCTAGCAGCCCAATACAATAAACCTGCAGCTGTCTATCAAACAACAAAAGAAAAAGAGAAAAGCACTCACAGTTCCACTTGACCGACTAACCTTTGTAGCTTTATTATGAATCAATGTGTATTAATTAATGTGAAGACTATGCAGTGTTTTAGTTTTACATTTGATTATTGAGTTTCTGTATTGTTTCTTACTTGAATGCTACTGTTAAATATATCTAATGTAAGCATGCCTGAAAGTTAAAGCACTATCACTTTCAGAAGTTGTAGTGATGCTTTCTTTTCCAAGAAAGAATGTAAAACATATACATTGGTTATATAACTTTTAGTATTTAAATATTATTTAAATAGATTTCACTTAAAACAATATCATATCACATATCGAATATCACATTATTTAACATATTGCATATCACATTTTTCTTCAATAGGCACAGCCCTACTTTAGATTGTTAAAATATTCCTAACACTAATAAATAAATGTTTCTTTTCAGAACTGTTCACTGAAAGGTTCTTCGGGGAAGCCAAAATTGTTCTTCTATGGCATCACGACTGATTTAATAGAGAACTGGATTGCTCATGACATCATAAAAGTGAAGCCACCGTGCCACCATGTTGGTATTACCTAGTATTCCCATACATTCTACTGAATTAATAGGAAATAGTACGATTTTAATGACAAAACATCACCTAACAAATCAGCGTTTTTATACCTTAAGCATCCCTGTACATTCTTACAATGCAAAGGTCCAGCGCATGTAAATGGTTTGTTGCTTAATGTCAGGAATTTCCCCTGCATAAAAAGTTGTTCATATACAGACAAACGTCAGACGAACATGATAAATATCGGACGGATTAGGTCCTCAACATATGTATTACAAATTTTGTATACACAAAGTGTTCATTCTGAAATCTGAATAAATATTTATGCTTTGTATGCAAGAGTGCATTGTTTATTTATCATAAAAGTTGATATGTCCATTTTATGGTAATTTACCAAGTTTAATGTAAGAAAGCGACTATTTAAAGGAAACAGTGAAGGAAGAAAGGAAGGAAGGAAGGAAAGAAGGAAGAAACAAACAATGAAAGGAAGGAATGGAAAATGAAGGGAGGAAAGAATAGAAGGAAGGAACCTTGTGGTTGCAGTGTGAAAGAAAACCAGATGAAAACTAGTCTGACAGTCAGCAGTGCTTTTAGCAGTGGGCGACAGGTTTGTTGACAAAGTTGAAGAATAAATTTTTTACCAGTGTAGAGAGCTCTGTGTGTGAATATGAATCTAGTGCACATGTGCTGGCGGTTTCACGTGGCCTAATTGTGGGTAGGGTGGTGTCTCTCAGGGGACTGAGATGGATGAGAGTGTATTTAAATGGATGCTCTCATTTCACAAATGAAGTTTGTTTGGCAAAAGCAGGACAGCAATTCACCGACATGTAGAAGCACAATTACAACACTCAGAGCTTTAGATGAGTCTTTTGAAGAACTATAGAGAGTGCAAACACATACACTGACACACACATATACATGTGATCCCAGATTAGGAGAGGTCACTTGTCAAATTCTCAGTTAAGAACTCTAGGATGGTGCTAATGTGTAATGCCATGGCTTTCTCCCCATCCTTTTCCAATTCTTTCCAATCCCAGCGGACACAAGGATCCTGGAGTGAAATGGAGGGGGGCACTTACCCGCCACATAGACTAGGAAGGAAAAAAGGAAGACCAGAACAGTTTCCATGGTAACTGCAATGGGGGGAGAGAGAGAGAGAGAGAAAGAGAGAAAGAAATAGTAAATAGAGTGAAAATCGGTGTTAGTGGGTTACATGCTTACCACATTCAGAAAGACTAGAGAGTTCTCACAAGCTTACAACATACATAATCACAATTACGCTCTGTCCTTGACTGGCATATTGTCATTGTACCTATGCAATAGCGCAATAGTCAGACAGCCTGACAACATCAGGATGAATTTAAACTCCCTGTAGACTCATAAATCACAGAAAAACATCTTGTGGTTTTTGAAATCGGTTCCTTGCATAAACATTTTTTGCCATTCTTTCTATGATACAATATTGTAACGATAAAGGTGTCATGCAACAGACAGGATTTGGGTGGTATGCCCAAAATCTTTTATCACATTGAGTAATTCGGTATATATTTTACAATATAAAAACAGACACTATCTTTCAAAAGTTTGGGATCGGTATGATTATTAAATGTTTTTTTTTTTTTTTTGTGCGGCACTTATGCTCACCAAGTTTGCATTTATCAAAAATACAATAAAACAATCATATTGTGTACTATTACAAAGTTAAAATAACTGTTTTCTGGTTTAGTACAGAGGTCGGCCGATATATTTGTCATTTTTTAATATATCGGCATCGGCCGATGTCCGTGTTTAGTAGCGCTGATTTAAAGTCAGGCACGTCCGCGGGCAGCCCCGTGTTATTGGTGCGGTGGAATGTGCTGCTGCCACATGTGAAGGACCCCAAGCCAAAACTTTTGGAAGATTCAACAACAGTCCTGGAAGATAAAGGTAAGGCTTAAATTCTGATATTTCAAAGTCCTATGGTCATATATTTACTATATATTACTAGTAAAATATGGAGTGTTGCTTCACTTAGTGAAAGAAAAAAGGAATAGCATAGAACCATAGGGAACTGGCATAATGCTACAGCTGGTTAAAGGTTCGCTTACTTGCAGTTAACTTTAAGGACTGTAGTCGAAAACTATCGGAGAATTTCACTCTGTGCGTGGGGTGGAGAAGGTGGCAGCTCTCACAAACACTGCAGCGTGATCGAGGGCTACGTTACTCCACCCCGCTCACAGACAGCACCGTGCTCGGAGACACAGAGCTGTCCTGGAGCAGCCCAGAACGGTGAATGACATTTGTTCGGAAGCATGGTTTGATGCAGACAATAGCCGGGTTTCCATCCAACTTATTAGCATATTGCATTAATGAAAAAAAAGCAGAAGAATATGCGCTTCTGCGTGTGTTTCCATCAACTGTGTAATGCGAATAAAAATGGACATCAGCCTAATAAAAGTGACGTGTTCCGACCAATATATACGTCGCACAGTTATTATCCTCATTAAACCTGTCTAACGTTAACCGTCAAGAATGTCAGAAATCACTAAGGGTTTAGCACTGTTTTTTTTTTTTATTTTTTGTAATTACTAGATTATGGTAATTTGGTTTGTAACTTGTAAGCAATCT